GCTGAGTTTTGGAGAACTTTTCTTGACACTCGCACCTGACCCGAAACAGGGTCGCGTCCGAAATATTTTACTGCGATTTCATGGCCAACTTCGAGCCCCAGCGCTGATGGATGAACAACCTGCGAATAAAAAAAAAAAGTGAATCGGGATACTTCTACATTATTCATAGGAACAAGCGCATTTCGTTTTCAATCTTTTGTTGGATTCTACACCAATTAAAATAATTACAAGTGGTCATGTCCTGTTGTAGCAATACCTAGTCTACTATAGTATGTACCACCTTTGCAGGACCCTTTGCCTTCATAAAGTAATTTTCGCTTTGAATTTCACCTTGACTTAATTTACGAGCATAATCCATTATTCCTTCCGACGCAGCATGAAGTAAATTGTCCTTTTTTAAATAAATAATTCTTTCAACTCGATTTCTCAGTCGGTTGTGAATCAAGTAAAGTAATCGGGCCAGGCATCCAACTGCAACGAACGGGCTTTTATTTTAAATACTGTATAACCAATTTAAAAAATGTGACGTATGGTGTTCTGCTTACGAGTTGTTTTGTGTCCAATTCTTCGGGTCAAGATCATACCTCACTGTTATAACATGTGCAGTTACTTTCTGTATCGAATGGAAAGAAGACAGGTCGACCCTTAACAGGAGCCAAACAGGAGTCATTGCTGGATGAAGGCTCAACATAACACCACTTTCCCGAACTTCCGTGATTTTTGCATTGCAAATCGATCCAAACTCCAACTGAGGTTCTCTTTCTTCTACTAGCCATTTCTCAATCATTTCTTTGCCCTCATCCATGGCAACTTGACTCGGGGCGAAGAGGCAGTATTTGGATTCGTCAACAGGAAAAACCTAGGAGTCATAAGTAAAGCATCACAATCAAGCCGATGCCAGAGTCGAATGAAGGAGTACTCCGAAATTATCAGTTGTTAAATGATCTAGCATTTTTGCCGTTCTCAAAATTTCCAACGAATTTTATAAATGTCGGACAGGTGTCACTTCAAACATTAACCCGAAGGGAATAAAAATGTAAACCGATTAGATATTAAGATATGAACTACCTACCCCCAGAATGACTCGACCATACCTCATCTGAATGGCAACGACCAGAACTGTCAGAATTTAGGATACGTCAATGTAACATCAAGTAAAATCATGGGACTTCAGTAACGGACAATTATCACACATGTTAAGGAATCCACGCAATTTATGTTATACATTCAATCACCACCAAAAAAACAAACCTGAACACCAGTTTCCGCAGTCAGGCTCTTCAGGTGCAAACCACCAGGACCCAAGAAACGGGACCGCTTGTGGATCGGAACTGCTATCTCTTCGCTAACTGGCCAATTGCCCTTTTTCTCACTCCTGGGCCGCACGATGGTCTGGTTCATAATGCCCAAAACGACGGCCTTGCCTTCAAACCCTCGTTGAATGGCTTCCATTACAATCTTCAATGAGATCCCGTGTTTCAACTTTACGTCGGCTTGTAGAGCTGTAACACCTCTTCTAGTCCCCGCGATTTTAAAATCCATGTCACCCATATAATCCTCTATGCCCAGGATGTCAGTCAACAACATATACTCCATTTCTCCGTCTTTGTTATCTTCCGCTTGATCTTTGCCACTAGAAAGGAGGACGAACAATAAATCGATTCACGATGAAAATACGCAAAACCGTTCGAACGAAATGTCTTTACTTTAAACAAAATTCCGGAGACATTTTGACGAAAGGCAAAATGAATTTCAAACAGAAGAACGCCCATAGCGATATCTCAGCAATGCCAAGAAAACCCGTTCACAAAAACTTTTTCTCGCGCAGAGGAGACTCGACAAGGTTGCACATGGAAGTTGACAAATAAAAACTAAGAAACGAAACTCTTCAATCACCGAGGTTTCAGAGGAAAGAACGGAAATGTAATATAAAAACCGGGTTTTTTTTTACGTGTTCCTTTGGTACTAAGTAAATCTAGCATAATTATATGACGTGTCATGACATTTGCGTTTGGGTGATTTGAAATGTTCCTCTACGCCTGTTAAACTCTGTCTGAATTAAAAAGCAGGGACAACTAGAGACCGGGGGATTTAAAAATGTAAAAAAATCAAGAGACAGGGGTACTTAAGAGGAAAAATCTGAGACAATGCAGTATCTAGATTCTAGATAAATATCAGAGATAGGGCAATCGCTAGATAAAAATTGGAGACAGGGAATTTTGGATCTTAATCATACTTCCTTGACCTGAAACTACTTCACATACATTCAGAGCACCAGTAATTTTTTAATTTTTTTCAAAATTTATACCAGCATACCACGGACACCTCTCTCTCTCTCTGCCTCATTTTCTAGGATTGAACTGCCTTATTTTAAATATAATACGAAAAGTGCGCGCGGTACACGAAAAATACGGGTATTTTCCAGTAAATCTTTCCGTACTGTTTAAAAGGCCCTGCTTTTAAATAAACAAAAAAAAATTACTTAACCACAATTTAATTTAATTGCAGATGAAATCCCACGAAAATCGTGCGAGGTCAAGACTCACCAGGGTCTAGTGACAAGACCAATCGCCACTCCGCCAACAGCGGCTTGAATCGGCACGCCGGCATCCATCAGAGCCAAAGAACCCCCGCAAACCGAGGCCATCGATGAGGACCCATTGGATTCCAGCACTTCAGCAGTGAGTCGCACTGCGAAGGGAAAATCTGCAGGGATGACTGGACGCAGCGCCTTCTCCGCCAAGGCCCCGTGACCCAACTCGCGGCGCCCGAAACCAGTCGATCTTCCGGTTTCATTCGTCGCGTAAGGAGGAAACTCGTAATGCATGGAAAATCTGCAGGGATGACTGGACGCAGCGCCTTCTCCGCCAAGGCCCCGTGACCCAACTCGCGGCGCCCGAAACCAGTCGATCTTCCGGTTTCATTCGTCGCGTAAGGAGGAAACTCGTAATGCAGGAAAAAGTTCTTCGCCTTCGCACCACTGCCAATGGAAAGAAGGGGTGAAAATCAGCGTATTTACTAACGCGCCCTCGAGCAAGACGCGGGCCAAAGGTTCTCAGTTGAAAATCTTGTTAAAATCTTATCCTCCAGTAGGATGCGCACCCCATTACTAGTGACTCTAAACCCCCAATATTTCAAAAATAAGAACACCAAAATTTGAATTTAGACATCAATTTAAGGTTCTCAGTTGAAAATCTTGTTAAAATCTTATCCTCCAGTAGGATGCGCACCCCATTACTAGTGACTCTAAACCCCCAATATTTCAAAAATAAGAACACCAAAATTTGAATTTAGACATCAATTCAACATGCATCCGACTAATTTTCAGTTTTTTCGATTGCTGTAAATTTTCTGTTCAACTTGGTTCAAAATTTCCTATTTGAATCAATTACGAGGGCTGTCCCACTTCTGATGGACCTTGGTTATTTCTGGAGTGGGTACCACTGTAACAAATATATAGGTATATGAGCCCAAGCTATTCTAAGGTTCTGGGATTTTTCAAAGTTTTATAAAAAATGTATATTTACTGCATGATGATAAGTGATAGCTTTCCAGTATACGGTGAGAGTTCTCCACCCACGTAAAAAGCTATTAAAACTTCTCTAGGCCATACAAAAAAAATTTGAAAGTTTCACGTCATTTTTAGCAGAAAATTTCCATCTCGTGCAATTCTCAGAAATTTTCAATGATTACTTTTTTTAAACAAATGAAAATCTAAGTGCATTTTTTCTAGAGCTAGGGTTAATTTCCATTTATTTCTTTTTTAAAAGCATAATCCATGGCATGGTTTCTGCCAGTGATATATTTTTTCTTTTCACCTTGGGGAAAAATGGTGCGCGTGGTATTCGAATGAATACGGTGAATCAATTAATTACTGTTGAGCAATTACACCCACCCTGTGGGGTCTAACTGAAATCGTGTGCTTTAACTAGTGAAACGATTTGTAGACAGACAGACGAGATTCGCAGGTAAGTATTCCCTCAGATTCCGCCAAATTCAATACGAAAAAATAAATTTGCGCAATGGTTGCAAGAGAAATTCCCGTATGATGTAAATTTACGATGACTTCCTGTCAAAAATAAAAAACCACGAGAAAAATAATCCCCTCTCGGGGACGAAGGTAAAAATCCCGTCGCACGAGCGTTTAAAGAAATCTTGAGTGGAACTTACGGGGTGATTCCCGTCATTAAAAGCGCCAAAAACTGGAATACTGTAGAAAATTTGGTCACTGTGAACACGGCCTTCGAAGTCGACGGCTAGAAACCCCCCGGGCAATCGTGGCGAAGTTTCGGGCCAAATGGGAGGATCCCCACCAATTGGTAGAGGCATAACTCTTTTTCAAGGTACAGTATTGTATCTTCTAATGCTCCACTAGACATGAACACAACACATTCTTTGAATCATTCCTGATATATTGTCTGCACCGAATGAAAATTGACTTAGTTTCATCCTCAAAATGGAGATCTATTAGTGATCCAAGTGCTCTGCCAGAGGATAAGTGCCCAACGAAAAGGGACCCGAGGAAGGGGTAGGAAATTGACCAGTGACATAAGTCTTCAGGAGGAAGGGGGTCGTGGGACGGACCAACAAGTGAGGTAGTGAGCGCAGAGATTCAGATTCACCAGACAAGTTTAACATTTGTAGAAATATGGTAATCCTCTGAAAAAATAATTCCAATAACGTGTTTTTGAAAGGGTTGTTCTTAAAAACTCCCAAAATGACATTATCTTTAAAAAACTAACACTCATCAGTCTACATTGGTGCTTTCGCCTGCCCGTTTATAATAGACAATATTGTGTATATTTTATTTTAACTTATAGTGAGGGGGTAGGTTACCAAGGCAACTGGGCGGATGGGGGCCCCTGAAAAAGAATGCTGTAGCGGTCGGTAAATAAAAAGCGGAGCGATCTTTTCTTTTGTATCTCTACCACAACAGACGGAAGTTTATGTCACCAAAACTACCCGAAGTGGATTCAACAAGTTGAACACATGAAGTTCACTACAAGTAAAAAGTAAAGAGTAATTCTTCTGAGATAACTTGATTCCAGACTTTCTTGAACGAGCGATCACACCCCGAACCAGGTCCCAAAAGACATCGGTTCAGGGTAAGAACCTTGTCACTTTTCAAGGCTCTTCAGTTCCTTTCTTTTTTTAAGAGTTTATCTCGATTTTTTTACCCGCAAAGGATCCGACAAATCGCAGGCTGCACTGTCTTCAAAAATGTCATGGAGTTTTCAACAATAATGTACTCACACAACCAGGTTCTGTGATCAAGTAAACGAGCTTGAATTAAGGTTACCAACGAAGAGGATGCCCACACATCAGCATGATAATCATGAAGTAACGCACCAAACACGGCTTTATTCTTCCATTACTCTGACCCAACAGAAGATGAGATAAATTTTCAATACTCCGCATCGTTTTCATCTTCATTTTGCCTCGTCAGTTTTTTCAGTTTTCACGTCATCAGACTTTTTAACTGCTGATGCACTTCCATCCTCACATTTCGGCGGACACGGGGGAGGACATGGTGGTGGGCAAGGAGGAGGACATGGAGGTGGGCAAGGAGGAGGACATGGAGGTGGACAAGATGGTGGACACGGAGGCGGACAAGGAGGAGGACATGGAGGTGGACAAGATGGTGGTGGACACGGAGGCGGACATATTGGTGGACGCGGTAAAGGCGGTGGACAACAAAATTCCTTCGGTTCCGGGGGACACGGTTTAGGAGCTGGACTGCACGGTGGCATCCAGGGCTCCATCATACGCTCCTCCACTGTCGGACACTCGTCTTTAGGCTGGGAATCTTTACGCTTGCAGTCGTCAGCGGACGGCATAACGATTTTGGGGCAATCGAAAGGTTCCGATTCCTTGCATTCTCGGTCACATGTGTCCTTGGGGACCAACACATTTTTCACTTCCTTCTTCTTCTCGTCACACTTATCATCGGAAGCCATGATTGTTTAGTAAAAAAATTAGTTGTTTTTATTATTATTAATTAATTAAAAAAGGTAACGTAACGAAGGTAAACGTAAGAGGTAAGGGATAACTTTGAGAATCGTTGAATAACAATCGTTTCCTTCTTTCAGAGGATTTCAAGAAACTTACTGCAAGTGCTTCGGATCGAGTGCCTTCACCAGATTTTAATTTTAAAAATAGGCTATTATATGTCCTCCTTCCCGACGGGTCTCAGGCATAATAAATCCCATTGTTAATCCCCCCGGCAGATCGAAACTCATGTAAGCATCAATCGTTTATTTTCTCAAATGAATTCACAACATCTGCATTCAGAAATTCACAAGAATTTACTTAGTACGTTATTTAGTTAGTATTATACTATCGTAGAAGGAAACCCTTTCATGAATGGATCGCTCACGAGGAGATCGCTTTGCAAAATTCTTCGTTTATTATGGGATTACGGATAATCCAAATGAATGTTTGACAAAGCCTATTCATCGTGTTCTGTAGATCAGCACTTAGCAGGGAATGGCTACAATACTGATAACCCAGATAAATATCTTCAAATACAGTGGTTCTAGATAACGCCGCCAAAGTAGAAATAAAATGAATAGTTCAGGGGTCTTCAAGGTCAAGGGCATGATAAAATCGATGATGATCAATCGTCATGCTTGAGCATTCGTTCCTCTTTCCAAGTCTCTCCTTTTTCGTGAGGAGGAATCAGAAACGATCAGCACTCGGTAGTGCACAAGTAAACAAGTACAGGTACTGTACTTCGTTTCCAGGAATAACCCGCATCAAATCACGCCTGAAACCGCAGAGCACGAAGAATGCCTATCGCGAATTGGTTTCGCGAAGAGGGCAATTGAACTTGACTAAGTTCTAAAGCCATACATATATATGAATAATAATAGAATATATCACTCACCCCAGTAGAACTGATACTGGATCAGATTTCAAGGCAGATTCAGGGGAATCGAAGGAAAGTGTGGAAAGAACTTGTGTTTGACCACGCTGGAATAGTGATGAGCCATGAAGCGGGGAATACAGGTCAACCTCACAGTGAATCGGCCGCACTTCCTCAACGCTCCGACCATCACACCTGGAAATTAATCAAGATAAAGCATATCAATACACATGTACTGTATTTCCTATCTGAGCTCTTCATACCACGAAAAAAATTTCCAACATCAACTTTTTCGCGCAAAAATGTATTGAAGATGAAAGAAAAATAACCGCATCAAGATTCAAATTATGAATGATGTTCTGGAACATTTTCTTGAAAGAATTCTTGCACAAAAGGAAAAAAATCCTCAACAATTCCAATATCTAGATTATGCTAAAAAAAAAAACTCATTTCAAAGCTTCACCGTTCTTTGCCAAAGGGAAGATTTAGATTTTTCTCATCAGAATTAAGGTAAAGTACTGTTCTATTGCTGAATTTGTAACATTGTTGAAAAAATTATCTTTCCTACATTTTTGCGCGTGAAGCTAGCAAACATTGGGTACTTTCCTTTTATCTCTGTACCTTCCCTCTGACCAATTTAGCCAAGTTAGGTTAGGTCAGGTAATGTTAATTAAAATATATTTGTAACTAACATAACCTGACCTAACCTGACCGCCTCCCAAGATCAGTTTCAGCAGAATGTGGAAAAATAAAATTCACAGTTCCTGGTAGGTTGTTGTGATTATGAACTCTTCCTAAAGATTTGTCTGGATGGTAGTGCGGTCCAGGAATGAGGTACAGAGATAACAGGAAAGTTCCAAAAATGGTATCCTTTTGTTCCACAAAATAACAAAACTGAAACCTGGTATGAGTGTCGAAGATCAGGTCTCTGAAAATCGTCTTGGTAACTTGCCAGAAGACTTCGCTCAACAACACATTGTCCCAGTCCGGAAAACTCTCCTTCAGTTTCTCTACGATTTCAACTTTAATAGCGAACATTGCGTCGTCTCGCTCAACTTTGGACAAATTTGAATCAGTAAAGACGTCTTTCAAGCGCATTTCACTAAGCGCTCGACAAGCGTCGCGCACGCTTTCCGAAGGTGACGGTCCGAAAGAATCTTCATTTGCACTCCGTAAGTGCGGCGGAGCTTCAAAATTCCGCTTCGGTTTACCCGCATTTTTCCGCAGTTCTGTTATAGCTTTATTGATCGGTTGACAGGCTTTCGCGGCAACTTTCACAGCTTTCTGAAAGTCCTGAAGGAGATAATCCTCCGCTGATGCCTCTATCATGACTGAAATGAACAAATTCACGGGTTGTACCACTCGACCGGGCTTGATGAAGACAGGATGACATTTCAGTCATCGAATTGGACTTGAGGCTTACGGATTCTGTTAGGTTCCAAAGAAGCAAGGACGAGATTCAAGGCACTGTTCGCCATTTCTCGACGGGTAGGATTCACAATAAGTTCGTTGTCGATTGAACCGATCCGAACAGCAGCAATCGGCCCATCCCACGGCACGTCCGATACGCTCAATGCAGCAGAAGCTGTAGAATCAATAATATTGCGATTCTCTTAATCCATAAAACTTCCGGGAAAAAATCGGATTATAAATTTAACGAAACTTGAATTTGCTGTTCGTTCCTTTACTGCAAGAATCTGGCCAGTGTAAAGGGACAGATTACTTGATCATCAGTTACAGTATTGGAATTCGACATTTCAAAATACAGCAGTACTGTCAATGAATTCTCACCTGCATTGATCGCAACGATGTCGGGATCGTGAACGCCGTCCACAGACAGCAAATTGCATACTAATTGCGTCTCTTGGAAGTATCCCACAGGAAATACTGGCCTCACTGATCTGTCTATGGAAATCAAGAAGAATGGAACGCAGAATACGTCATAACAACCTTGCAGTTTTCAATAAACGGCCAACTTCAACTCAAAAAAGACGACCTTGACAAGGAATTAGCCCGTTCACCGACTTACAAGATTTTAAAAATTGTCGAAAAAATTTCCCGAATTCTTCATTCCAGATAAAACATTTCAAATGCCGGATAAATTGCTGTCAAGCACAAATTTGTCTTCCAAGCCATTGATCGTCACCGTCTTCACCAACTCGTGACCGTGAAACAAACACGACCGAGCAAGGTCACTCGCGCGTGCGCAGCCATTGCTTTTCAACAGAGCTCTATCAGTACAGTACACGAGAAACTACACCACCAGTACAGTATAAGATCGCTTCGTGCGGTTCCCTCAAAACCACGTGTAGACGGCACAGGGCACTTCCCCGGCAGGACGCACCCCACCAGTATGCCTTACCTACAAGGATATATACTCACTAAGTTATTTCTTATTTTCTATTAATTCTACTTAGTTCTAATTTTTACCCTGCATTACCGTTTATTACCCAATAACATGACTCTTGTAGAAAAGCATATATTTATTTGACTTAGCACACTTACGCCCTTCCTCCTACACCAGAACCACTCCAGGCACATACGGTATCACGCAAGTTACGGTATTTCAACTAAGGAGCTACAAAATACAGTACAATACTTTACTGTACTTGGTTAAATCCTCTATGGTCTATGGTGCAGCCTATGACTCCATGATACCCGGAAAGCGACGCACAACTTTTTTTGTGGCAGATATTAAATTTTTTCAAAGCTTTGCTGACGACATACGGAAACAGTCAAGGTCTCTCAAATTCTATGCATCGGAAAGCTTGACATCAACTGCATTTTGAAGAGCTTTTTTGCAGATGTCCAAAAAAATGTGATATGGGTTTGCAATTCCCACAGACGACTGTGATTTACACCTTTACAATATTACGGTAATAACATCCAAATATTTTTATACTGCATACATACGCAACTTTCTCGACCCTGCGCAATTTAGTACACGAAAGGCCGTAGTCTGATTCTGGGCAGCCGCTTCTAAAAAATTAAATAAGCAGCGACAAATTTGGAAATTTTCAAGAGGGAAGATTAAAATATAATTGAATGATACCTGAGAACTTCATTTGAAGAATTTTCACCTCGAGAAAATATCTCAAATGTACAGTATGTTAGGCTCAACTTATGAAGAAAATTAATTCGAAATTTCAACGAACCTATCATTCGTCCGGCGAGAATTTCTCGTTCAGAAGAGCCGATTTCTCGTCGCAGAAAGTTGGTGGGAATTCTCCCCGCAGCTGCAGTATAATTTCAATGAGTTTATATTCTTATCAGAAAAACGTTTCCAAGTTCATGTTTATTCTGATCGTCGTCGATTCTTGAAATTTCGAAAAATACAGTTGTCACATCATCGTTTCCGATTGGTAGATTATTTTCCCAATTATATTCTCCAGATGCGGAATTTTCTGCACAGAACAATATTAACAAGCCCGGTATTTCGAGATTTCATAAAAAATTCAGAAGACGAAATGGCTTCCCTACCTCGCACTAAACGGGGCTTCGGTAACAGACTCCTTGAAAGATATTCTCGTCAAACCCCGCGTGAAAGACCTCAGGCATCTGAGATCAGGCTTCATTTTCCCTCGCGACATCGCCATTGTTGACCCCACTTATAAAATGGTTCAACCAACCCTCGCTCTTCAATGAAGCATATCTGAAATTGAGACGTCTGACTTGAGCAAAAATGAACAAAATAATCCGTATCATAAACTCAAAAGAAAAATAACGGAACAAAAACACTGCTACAAAAACATAAATTACTGCATTTCCACCAGATGACTTTTTGCAATATTCTGGGCGAAACAAATTTGTGGACACATCGGCTCCTAGATCCAATATAGGCTTCAAATTAGAAATCATGAGCTTCAGGAAGATGCAGCACGAGCTTCAAGATTGATCATGCATTCAGAATTGATCACAGGTGATGCATGGATTGGCGGGAAATTCAAAATGAAAGAAGGTAGTAGGAATTAAATCAAACAGTCAAAAAGATTACGTATTTTCGAGAACAAAAAATAATTGGTGAACCGTGGAGAGATTATAACTTTCCAGATGAAAATTTGACCATGCAGCCACTCGATGAAAACGCTCTGTTCCACAAACGCGATTGTCCAGCTGAATATGGGGAGGTGAATGTTCACAGCAGGGTTGTTTCGATCACACTCGAATTACAAAAACTGAGCCAGAAAGCCAGCAGGAAGCATAACCTGACTAAGAATTGTGGTCCCGGCCTGGGCTCTGGCCGCAGCAGCACCACCGATGCTTGCAAGCGCTTCCTGCGCCTTGGCCCTCGCGTCGCTTTTCGAAACGTCACCCCGAACAGTTAGTAAGGCAATCAAAATATCCAGGGTCACATCAGGGTACTTCGCGACCAATCCGTGCAGTTCGAGGGACACGAATTCCGGATCCTCAACACGCAGTACCTCAGCTAACGAAGCCATGACGTGACACGGGTGAATGCTGGGAGACAAGTCGGGGACTTCAGCTGCCAAAAAATTGCATAATTACATCAATGAGAAACATCTTGAAGGAACTGCAGGAAATGAAAGTCGAATACCTACCAGCAAAAAAGTCTTCCAGTTGCCGAGCTTCTCGAGAAGCTCGCTCGGCAGCACTTGCACGTTCCTCGTTGTTCTTGTACGGCATTTTACGCTGAAGCATGTTCATTATATACTTTTGTGCAGTGGTGTTCAAGCAAACCATGGCAACGTATTCGTAATTTTTATCTGTAAGGTGTTTGTAGTCGGAAAAGTAATCGTTCAGCGTCACGAGAATGGTTTCCATCGCCGGCGAAGACCCATCAAACCAGCGTCTTGAAAACACATCATGAAGATGGGGATCGAGATCGACGAACGTTTCTTCCAATAAAATATTGGCGGCATCATTCCGTAAATGCTGCAAAATAATAAATTGTCAAAAGTCAAACCGACGGAAAACGATTAGCACATGCGAATTTGCAAGAATACAAACTCATGAATTACGCAGAGATTTAAAGGCTACAGTACTGCATAGCAGTTGAATAACGTGTGAGACGTTTATAAACTGCTAAAAAGTAAAATAACTTGTAGTCTTGAACCAATAATTCTTCATAGCTTCAAGAAAGAAAATAATTCTGAAGTATTTTCGCTTCGCACGGTTTCGTAAACTAAGAATTCTTAAGAATTCTTTGTACAAGGAATAATTTTAGAAAAATTGCGCCGAAAATTCGGGAAAATACTCACGAAATACGCTTTGTGAAGTCTCTCAAGAATAGCTGTTATCTCTGAAGGAGTCAGCTCAGATTTGATGTATTTGTCTTTCAATTGTTTCGCCATTTCGACAATACGAACGCAATCGTTCACATTCGCAATCATGGTGTGCGTGAAAAATGGTATCTGCAAAACATAACAGACGGTCAAGTTGGATCAACACACATGGGAAAAATAAAATTTCTCACTTGACTGCGGTCTTCCAAATATTTCGATTTATACGAGACCATTCGAGCCCTATATTCGTGGACCAGATGAATTATCTCCTCCAAGCAAATCTTCAACGCGCCAACCATGATTTCCCCACTGCAGAGGATTCCAACAAACAAATTCCGGACTTCTTACAAAAATCTACAACAGAAAATACCGGAAGTCTCACCTAATGGTATCAGCAACATCAACGTTTTGCTGAACCATGTCAAAAATTAAAGCAGGAAATCCTGTGTTGAATTGCTTTCCATCACCTCCGGAGAAGATATCCGGTTTTGCTGAATTCGGACGCAGCCACTCACTGACGGACGTTTGGAGAGATTTATTCAGCCAATCTTTGACGTTTGTCTGTAACGTCTGGAAAAAGTAATGGGGAGTTTGTGATAGGAACAAATGAGGCATTTTCTGCGATTGATTCGGACACAGAGGTTCAGTCTTTAAAGATGACTTAGTGCGAAATTTTTAGAGGTGCTAAGACTGCTCATGACAACATTTCAACAAAAACTTTTTGACTGGTCGAACTCATAAAATCTTACATTCAAGTAGCTATCCTGAAGTTCACGAACAGACTGCTCATCAAGAACAGGTCCAACTTCACTTTGCAAAATACCCAGTTCCACCAAAATTTCTGGGTACGTATTGATGACCCATTGCAGAAGTGAGACGACTTCATTTCCTTGAACGCCGAACTTTATCAGTTCTTGCAGCTGTGAAAAAATAAAAAGCCTTTGAACTTTGCTATCAAATATATTATGTCTACGGAAAAATTACTCACCCTTGTGCTTAGGCCTTGGTGATAGATACGGGTAAAAGTTTTGACAATATCATATGAAGGAGGAAAAACTGGAACACACACCGTTCTAACAACTTTCAGGTCATCAATCAACATTTTCCGCAACATTTCCAAATTAACCACAATCCACATCTTGTTGTCATCACGATTCAACGCTTGATTGCCTTCAATGCGTTCCAAGACCGCTTCTTCCATTACTTTCAAAGCTTTTGCTTTCCAATGTTTTGGCCTCCCTGGCGGCATGAACCCATCAGACCTCTGCAAATAAATTAGCCCATTAATTTTCTGCCATCACAAAGCTTTCAATTGTACAGGACGAATCAGATTTCACAATTTTTAAACTACGGTGCTAATTGGCAAGTTGAAAAGTTAAATTCCGACTCAACTTACAGTTCAATTTAAAAAATG